AATAATTCTGTGATTGCTCTGATGCTGCCTTGTTGATGAAGTCCATTGCGGCTTGGTGATGTGGGTGCCACAGGCAGCAAGCAGAGAAGTCTTTAAAAGTATGTGTGTTTTGGCCAGGGCGGGGTTTAATCTCATGATTTGGGGGGAGCCTGACTATGGTTTGAGCTCTCCTGTCACAAGCAAGTCCTCCTCACTATGTTACTATCTTGCCTTCGGAAAGCCTCATGGGGAGCCTGGTATCACAGCTCCTTTCTTTTTCCAGGTTGCGTCTACACAAGATGCTGACTGCCCAGTAGCCCGATACTACTGTGCAGTAGGGCTGTGTGAAACAGCAGCGTTCTGACGTTTTGATGGAACAGCATTTTGTTTCGATTCAAAACAGCTGTTCCGTTCCATCGAAACAGGGTTGTAACAGCAAAACTGTTTCGACATTTCACCCCTAGGATATAATGGGGAAGGACAAAACAGCCTATACCTTTGTCATTTCTGGCTTGATTTGGATGAAACTTTGGGGGCATGAAGCCTGCCTGCCATGTTTCAAGGAGATTAGTGCAGGGGGTTCGGGGAAACTGCACCCCAAAGTTTTGAAAGCAAAACTTGTGTCTTGTGTATGTTACACCGCAGGGGGGTCAAAACTGCACAGCATTCTAGCCCTGTGGAGGCCACAAAGCCTGCCACGTTTCAAGGCGATAAGTGCAGGGGTTTGAGGGAAACTGTACCTCAAGCTGTAGACAAGCAAAACTCGTGACATGAGCGACAGCGTGTGTGTTAAGGGGTACAATCAAGATCAGTGGCGATGCATGGGGGGGCATGTGCACCCCCTGTCAGCCAGTGTTCCTGGGCAGGGGGCAGGCCAGAGCGCTGGTGCACCCCCTGAGAGCACCAGCCAGGGAGTCGGGGCTCACCTGGAAGTGCAGTGCTCTCTCTCCCAGAAGTGTCAGTGGCATACCTGGAAGGGTCACTTGCGGGTTGGTGGGATTGGCCACAGGGGCACTCCCCCGTTCATGGATGACTGACCACTGGGCCTGACCCAAGAGACACCAGTCGCTCATGATCAAGACTATCTTTTTCCATACCAGAAGTTGTTTGATAGAAGGTACATTGGGAGCTAGCTAGATGGCAGTAGAACACACGATTGCTATGCTGTTGTTACTGGACAACCAGTGTTTGAAAATCTTGCAGCAAAAGGGCTGTTTTAGTTTTTTGGTGCAGTTGTTTCAGACACCCAAGCACTGAGACACGCATTTACAACTGGCCTAGGTTAGGGCGGTCCCCCCCGAGGGAGCGCGTAGAGGGCACTGACTTGGCCGGCTCTGCCCGCTGCCCGTTCGAGCCCAGCTCAGCCCCTGGCGGCGCGCGACAGGGCCGGCTTCAGCGGACGCCACCGCGCATGCTCCAGCTCATGCTCAGTCCGAGCACCCGTGCTGTGAGGCCCGGCTCCCTCGGCAACGCGCTTCCGGGCAGCGGCGACACTCAAAATGGCGGACGGAGGCGACGAAGCGGCGGCAGCGGGCGGCCGCGGCCCCCTGAAGCCGGCGATGGTGAGGAGCCCGCTGGGCGGGTCTGCGCGAGGCGGCCGAGCTGAGCCGAGCCGACGGCCTGCGACCGCGTCCCTGGGC